ATGAATTCCTGAATTTATTAATTTCCAGGCTGTTTTTTTCGCCATGTCTGTTCATTACCTTATGTGTGATTCCTTCTGACGCCCTTCTCTATCTCAGGACATCCTCAATGCCACTGTCAAGCAGCGCAAGGCCTTCACGGAGCTAGTGTCATCAGCAAGCAACCTGCAGCTGGCCGAGATCCCTGGCTGGGCTGGCCTAGGGGGTGTACGCTACATCCCAGACATCTGGCTGGCACAGGAAGTGCTAGCAGACTCAGCAAAGGAGGACATCAATGCACTCAATGTCCATCTAGTCTCCCAGCTCAAGGCCACCGATTCGGCATTCTCTCTTGGTAGGTTTTAGGTCTTGGGGCTTTGGGGGTCTTAGGAGAAGATTGGCAGATATGATGGGAGCTAGAAGTTATTGTATTTCTGAGACGATGTCCATCTTTCAAGTACTTTTTTTTTTTTTTTTAAGTCATATGTCCTGGTCTCATCAAGTAGAAGCGAAAGAACTATACTCCTGCATGCTCAGGTTTCAGTAAATCCTCTCAAACCAAAAAGATAAGAAAAGAAAAAGCAGAAATGAAATCAGATAAAACTCAGACTGAATGGTTACTGTTAACTTTTTTGAAAAAGAAAAAAGAAAAAACAAAAAAAAACTGTTATTTATCTGCCAGGACAAAAAGTATGAGAATGTATAAATTATGTTTTTGTACCAAAAGGAAGCATGTGCTGCAACTTGTTAGTGGCAGGGATGAAACTAACAAATCATTAGCATGATGTGGAGTACATCACAGTTGTTTTTTATGTTTAGGAATTATGCTCCAAATAATAGTCAGATGCAATTGTTTTCCAAAAACAAGTATCATCTTTATCAAACATGAAGGCATTTGTCTAAGAAAATTACACAAAAAAAAAGAAAAATAGTCATGACTCGAATGTGTATGTATAAACACAGTCATATACAATATATATAACTTCTTGTGTTTATAATATATACATATGTAAGAATGATATGACTGAGTCCATTTACCCTCTTTGGCAATGATATGATGATCATTCAATTGAAAAATTCAATTATGTAATAGCTATTTCTTCATATAATTTCTTGTTTAGCTATTTATATTCCATATAGTATGATAAAAAGCAAAAACTGCTGAGAAATTACAAGTGTTACTGAATGAAATTCCAACTTCATACTCCTAGGATAGCCACAAACTTCTTTACCCAGTTGTATTATATGGGAACAATTAACAGCCAAATTTATCCTCTAACAACACAATCTATTCATCCAAAGGTGAAGCTGCGGATGGAGTCAATTGCGTACGGTTCGGAATGGTTACAGCCGAGACGGACATCTCTGAGCTTCTGTCCCTCGTGATCTCAACGGGTAGGGAGATCGAAACGTCCTCCAAGTTCCTGGATCAGATGACGGACATCGTGAGAAAAGGTGGGTATAGAGGAGGAAGAGTGTGGGAAGAGGGGAGGTTAGGATTGTTTGCGTTGAGAGGACAGTCGGTAAAGAAGAATGTGTTTTACTTGCTGAGATTTGATGTTTTGTAGGACAGTCAGTAAAGAAGAGCCTGTTTTACTTGCTCAGGTTTGATGTTTTGTAGGAGTATACAAGCTTATCATGATTAAGTTTAGTGTATGAATTAAAAAGATAAAAATTCCATCAGGCATTGAGGCTGCGACAGAAGACCTGAGGCGTGAGAATGATGAACGGCTGTGGCAGGAAGGCATCCTCCGGCACGTGCCCATAGTCGGCTCGGTTTACAATTGGTTCTCGCCGCCACCGCCACCGGGGATCAAGGGACGCACGCTAGACCTGACTGCGGGAGTCCTGGAGAGTACAGAGAATATTTACCGGTATCACATGCAGGTTGGTTGATGTGTGTTTCATTTAGTCCTTGGTTATTTAGTGAATATGCAAGTCCATGCTTATTATAGATATATACATACATATACATATATATATATAAATACACATATACGTACATATATACGTTTATACATATATACATATATATGTATATATATTGTCTGTATGTGTATATAAATGTATTTATATATGTATATATATGTACACATACATATATGTTAGATAATGTATATATACACATATTTATATATAGATATATAAAGATACACATGTATATACATATATATTCATATATATCTATACATGTATGTATACAAGTACATATATGTACAGACTCATATATACAATCTTATATATATGCTAATATATATATATGCTAATATATATATATATATGCTAATATATATATATATATATATATATATATATATATATATATATATATATATATATATATATATATATATATGTATACATATATATGTATACATATATATACATATATGTATACATATATATACATATATATGCATATATATACACATACATATATATATACATTTTTATATATACACATATAATACATATATATACATATATACATATATATATACACATATATACTTATATATAGTATATAAGTATATATTATATGATACATATATGTACATTTATGGGGCTGCTGTGGTACAGTGGTAACGTGCGCGGCTGTGGGCCAAAGTGTCCGCAAGCATACGGGTTTGCAGCCCGGCCACAGTCTAAGGTTAGGAACTCGGGGTAACAGTCTCTATATATGTATGTACATACATATATATATATATATATACATATGTACATATATGTACATATATGTAATATATATATACATATATGTACATATATGTAATATATATACATATATGTACATATATGTAATATATATACATATATGTATATATAGATAGATTCATATATATACATAGAAGCATATTCATAAACATAGATACATATAAATATACATATAAATATATGCATATATATATATATGTGTGTATATATGTACATATATATATAGATAATAATATATACACATCTATATGTATACATAGATATATCATATATAAATATACATATACATATATGTAGATGTATATGTATATGTATATATCTTTCCCAGACTAATCTATTGGAAATTTATTTGCTGTCAGATCCGTCATGGCACAGCGCCAACGCGCACGGAGACAAAGCTTCCTCCAGCGCCATCTGTACAGACCTCTGTGACGCCCTCAGCCTCTTCCCCTTCGCACTCACGGTCAAGCTCCACCACCTCCGCCTTGGCCCCTGGCTCCACCCACTCCCGGCAGGCCTCTGATCAGCCCACCGTCACGCCAGACTCGAAGACAGAGCAGGGCGTGGCACCAGTTGCGGCGAATGGCATTATGCCATCAGCATAGAGTTAGCTTTAAAGCCTGAGGTAGACTTGTAGTATTTAATTATTGCTAATTATAATGATTAATAACAACAAGATTATTCGTGGTCATCCTTGACCATTTTCATCATTAAAGGCATTTACGTTTTCTTTTCTATGAAACTTGGGAGGACAGTTGCATTTTTTTTTCTTTTTTTTCCTTGTGTGCATATGTGAACCAATCAGTGCCGATCTTGCGTGCTGTTGGTTGCGAGCTCGTCTTTCATCGCCCAAGCAGAGTCTGTGGCCATCAGGTTCTTGAATCATTGCTGGCTCAGTGATTTTGTGATTCGTGGAAGGTTTTCACTTTCCATTATTTGTAACTGAGGGGCATTATACTTCCTCTTCGACCTGATTAGTTTACTCTCTAGGAATTAGGTAGCGGAAGACTACAGAGAAGAGATATCCAACCATATTATTAATATTATTCTTACTTTCTTGATTTCAAACACTATATACATAAAGTTTGTACAAATGATGTAAAAGATTTGAGGGCACTACTTGGTAAAAAAGAAAAAAAAAAAAGAGAAAAAGAAATTGGTGCTATAGCCTTTTGTACCGTATCTGTTATTGTTATATTGGGCCAGGCAGATTTAGCGTGGTGATGCCTGGGGGAGGGGGAGGGGGTGTGGGGTTAGGGGGAAGCAGTTGGGTGGGGGGGAAGTGGGAGTTGCGCAGTGACAACCCAATAGTAGTCATTCCCGATTTTTTTGTTTTTTTTTTCTCCCCCTCTTCTTTCACATAGTAATACTTCAAAGTATATGTACTGTTAATGAGTCTTACTTGCGACAGGTTTTTGTATTTATTGTATCAACTTGCTAGGAGGGCATGTCAAGAATACTGTTTTTTTTGCAGCTCTTATCAGCCAAATAAGACCCCAATCATATAGTTTGTAGGAATGGATTCTTTTATTTATATATATATGTATATGTATAGTGTATGTATATGTATACGTATAAGTATATGTCTATATATATGTATATGTATATGTATATGTACATATGTATATATAATATAATTATATATATATATATATATATATATATATATATATATATATATATATATATATATATATATATATATAAATATATATATAATTTATTTTTTGGGACATTTCTTTTGTCTTTAGCTCAAGTTGTACACATTATAGTCAGAAAATTCAATGTTTAGAATTTATAGTTTTATTTCATTGTTCACAGGGAAGAGTGCATTGAGGCCCATTGAAGCAATAATAGAAGTATTTAATCATACAGAAGATAGATTCGATTGGTATCGAGTCTCCCTCTTACATATTGGTAGGTTTGGCTACATGATTTGGTTAATACATTGGCAATGCAGTAACATTTAATTTTTCTTCAAGTTATATATAGCATTGTTATAAAATGTGGGAAAGCATTACTTTGTCGAGAGCTGCTGTTGCTGAGTTTTTTTTTTTTTTTGTTTGAAATAGAGGAAGAGACTTTTTTTTTTTTCTTTCTAATGGAATAACGGCTTCCTCGAGTTTATGCATTAATGGCAGCAGTGGATTGCATGCGGCACCCTAGGGCAGTTGTTTTTCCCAGGTCGTAACCTGTTGAGTTAGTACGAGGGAAGTTTTTTTTTTGCTCTTTCACTTTTGGGGAATTTTCTTGTTATTTCGCTTTCATTTGCTTGTCATGAAAGTGGTCCAAAATAAGAAAAAGAAAAAAAGCTAAACTGCAGATATTCAGCACCAGTTTTTCACTATGTATTGATGTATTTTGTACACATTGTTTCAATTTTTTTTTTTTTTTTCTATCACAGGGAATTTGATTGGAACCTCGTCACCCTTATTTTGCACAAAGTTTAGCCAGGTCTTAGAAAATGCAAAGAACTGATGTGCTGTTTTATTGTTGATATTTTTTTTTTTATATATATATATTAATCTTTTTCTCCATTTATTTCTCTCTCCTCTCTATACCAATTCACTAATTTTTTCGTGAGAAGTGTATTTGTATTTATTTCTGTTTGATCCCCGAGATGTCATCCTGTACATAAGGAGTTACACTCGGTATTCACTTGTGTTACTATGCAAATGCGTTTACAGCACCAGTTTAGCATTTTATTTACTTATTGTTATTATTTTTTTAATACTGCCAACCTGTATAACTATAGCTATTATTTTTTCCCCCTTAGATATCTTTTTTCCTTTGTTGTTATCATCATTATTTTTCTATAGTTTCACTTTATTTTACATTACGTTAAGTGTAAGTCCCATTCAGCGGATTTGCACCCAGGATACTGATATACTAGTGTGTTTGGCTTTTATAATCTGTTGTGCACCTTTTTTTTTTTTCTTTGATAAGGCTCTGATTCCTTCTCATTTATTTCTTTTTATTTTCGTAGTTGGTTATCAAAGTATTATCATCATAATCTGTTACAGATTCTAGTTTTTATTTCATCGGCACTTTGGATTTTTGTAGCTGTAGATCTGTTCATGTTTATTCTACATTCCAATTGCGCTGTGTAAGACCTGTTTGGCTGAGGTCGGCAATTATTATATATTTATTTATATTTGTATAGATATATATATGTATTTATATATGAGATATATATGTATATCTATATACATACACGTAAAACGTATATATGGACTTTTTTTTTGTTGTTTTTGCTGTGTGTTGTTGAGTGCGATAATATTTATATAAACATGATTATTAGTTGGGGTGCAATTGTGCAAAGGAAAAAATGTGTGTTTTGTGTATATGAAGTGATTTTATTATTATTATTGTTTTTGTAGATTTATTTGATATTGAGGAAAATAAAAGAATCTTAGAGCACATGGTGAGTCCTTTTTAAGAAATGCTTGTTCAATTATCTTTCTCATTTATTGAAAACTAAAGAGAAAAATGAAAGAGGAAAAGGCAAAAGAGAAGACTGAAGATTAAACTATTTTCTGTGTGTTCATTTTCTCCTTTGTTGAGTTTACTTAAAAGGAAAAAATAGATGAAAGTAGACAGGAAGCAGTTTCTATTTGTTTTTCTCTCTTAGCTTTTCTCTTGTATGATTTTCCGCTCATCATTATTTTTTTTTCCTCCTCCTTCTCTTTTCTCTCAGTGGTAATCCGAAGAAAATACATTCCTCCCGATTTCCCATTTTCTGTTAGGCCCCAAATACCCCCATTTTTTGTTGCAGCCTCCAAGCACCCCGTTTTCTGTCACTTTACCTAGGTCTGTAAATGGAGGACTGTTTTTTCTTCTCACTCTTATATGAAAAGTTCTTGTGTTGTGTGTGTGTGTGTATTACTTCTCTCTTTGGGCATTCGAAATTCAATATTTTTATGCTAGTCAAAATGAAAGAAAGTTTGCTAAAGAGAACTTCAGATTTTATTCGATGAGTGAAAACCATTTTTTTTTTTCTCTCTTTCTAGGATGTATATGTATTTGTATATGCATATTCTTTCCTTTTAATTTATTTGTTTCCTTTCTGTTTAACCCTTTATTTATTTATTTATTTATTTATTTTCATTTTGTCCTTGTTCCCTTAATTTAGGAAGAGGTATTAGGGAAGTATCCATTGATTCTATTACAGTTAGTGCCTTTCTGAGTTATTTAAAGGAAAAAGTGATTGGTGTTTGTATGTCTTTATAAGAGGGAGCCTTCAAAAGTAAATTGATATAGGCATAGTTATTAGTGTGATTTGGGGTTATTTCACTCATTATTATGTATTTTGTGATGATGGGACACCGAAACCTGGAGGATTCTTTATTGTATTATGTATATTTTTTTATATTAAAAAATGTGTGACTTTGTACTGTGAAAACAAAGCATTTACTTAAGGTCTCTCCTTAGAAGAAAGAAAAACTAGTTTGCATATGTATTATATATGGTTATTTATTTTTTTTTCCAGCTCTTGAATTTATGATTTTATTTCATATGGATATATAAAGAAAAAACATCTTGATATAGTACTGTCCAGGGTTGCAGAAAGGATACTTTTGATTGAATTCTGTTAAGAGATTGCAGTGTTGCATGGTCTTGCAATATACCCAACAATGTTATGGGCATTAGAGTTTGTATGGTGGAGGGCAGTGTTTCATCATCATTGTTATTATTATTTTGTTCTCCTTTGCAAGCTAGGTGTGTGAGGTATTGCCAATCACTGGCGAATGGGAGAACTGTTTAAAAAGGCTGCAACAGCATCTCATTCTTTTCCTCGTTGAGCTATA